CCTCCTGCCTGACCGCCCTCCTCTTGCTGCCCCCAACCCCTTGCAGGAACTCTGCCCACCTGCAGGAGGCTCACTGCAAACCTGCAAAAATCTATGGGCTTCTCCGCTACAAAGAGAAATCCGTGTTTTACTCCAGTAAGGGTGGGAAATCCGCGTTTTACTCCATTTTTCCATGGGAAACGGAAAACCCAGATCCCTGCTTATGACCTAGATGACAAAAATAACTATTTACTTTGTGGTTTCATCTTTTCAGATTTTGCAAGAGGGGTATAAAATGTTGAGAATTGTGCAATAATAGCTTGTGATACTGAACTGTACGTATGGTATTACTTCATCTTTGAGTTGAATAGATTTAGTTGTGCTCTGTTTATCCAACTCTTTTCTTCCACCTGTTTCAGATCTGTAACTTTAAGCGCTGCTTTTAATTATACCACAGTGTGCACAGAGCTGGGAGTTCATAAAATAAACTGTGCCTCTGGCCTTGAAATACGACAACATAATAAGTCTGCTTTTCTGAGTCCCTTGTTTGCGACTTCAGAGGCTCAGACAAATTTCTTGAAGTAAAAAAATGGCCTGAGACTGTGACCCAGCTTTTGTGTGTCATGGAAAAGTACTTAATTTGTGTCCCATTTCCAAGAGAGGATAATGATTTCAATATTGTCTATGGAAACAGGCAGCTTGCACTCAAATTTTACTAATTTTTTGTCACCAGTCCTACTCAAAATTGTGAGCATTGCCCAAGAAAACTGAAGGAAAAAGTTCAAAAAGTCTGAGTAACACATGCTGTTTCTAGAGGGAAAAATGGGGCTATTGTTTGCTTTGGTAATTGAACACAAGTACTTCATTTTATTGAACAACAAATCGTCACTTGTACAGTAGTTGCCACTTCAGATAACTTGAGCTTTGAGTCTGGACCATTCAGCTCATCACATGGTTTACTTTTTGTGCCAATCTTAACTAATAAGTGCAGTTCTTTGCTTTTCCTTGAAGGCCAATTTTTTTTGTTCTAAAACTAGTCAACCTAATCATGGGGAGAATATCAGAATGATAGTTTGGTTCAGATAAGCTCTCAAAAATATGTGCTTCTCCAACCACTTGATACTGCAAAACTGGCTTGTAGGTACTACAACTGGATTCTTTTTACTGTATTCAATCTTGTAATTGTTACTTTGGGACTTATGCTTCTAGATACAGATTGGGAAATCCAAACACTGATTTTTACCTTAAGCCTGCATATAGTGTAAATTGACAGAGACCTATACTGCCAGTAAATACAACTAGGAATGGTACTGAGAACATCTGAAGGACTGTCTCCTCAGTTGAGATGCTGTTGATGGCTACTAAGGAAGGGAATCGGCAATTGAATCCAGTTCTATGCAACAAAGGAAACTCATTGCATGACCGTAGCAGGGGAACTGGATGTCCTGACTCCTTGGAATTTCTATTATTGTTTGAGTGATTGGAGTAGTGAAGAAAATAAATTGATGGGGGAAGGTGAAAGACTTTAGAATGAGTAGCCTCCAAGGTCCACATATGAGAGCATACAGGTCAGCAAAAAGTAGTGCCTTATTACAAAGATATGCAAAAACAAGGAGTGCTGGAGAAGAAGCATTTTTCCAAGCAACTCCGATCTCAAAGGGCTAAGTGAGTTTTCCCAAACCTGCTCCCCTTATGAAAATACAGAATTATAGCACAACTGTATAGCACCATTTTCAAATGGTTCTCACATCAGTGTCCACCCAGTATTTGACAATGAGGTATGTGTTAATCTGGGCATTTTACTTACTTGCAGTGGGCCCCCTCAGCCAAAACCAACAGCACAAAATCCCTCTCACTCCAGGCTCATTGCTGGCTAAGGAATTACCCCATCTGTAAAAATAAAAAAATGTTTCAAAAATCAGTTTAGTGAAGTAAACTGATCTAATCGCAGTAATGACAGGAAAGTGGGATGGGTTTCTGTTGTGACTCATGTACTCCGCATGTTTAATACTCTGTCTCCCCAAGCAGGCACAGTTCTCTAACAAACAGGAATTTGCTTTCATGTCTGTCATCAGTATTAAACATATTTACAGTGTGTTTATTAAATTAAATATGGGCATATTGGGATAAAAGCAGGCCAGGGAAATTACTACATACTTGTCTAAGCTACAGTTATTTACTTTTCTCGCATGCTGGCAGAAGACTGTACTGTGACTGTGTATAATACAGGCTCAATATTGCCATGCCACATCACAAAATGCAGAAGATTGATAAAGTGATTAAGATTTCAGGCTGAAAGGAAAGGTCCTGAAGATTAAAATACACTTAGTTGTATGTTCATTTATCATAGAGTGCATCTTGCATGCCTGTGTTGCAGTTGATTTCTGAGCTTTTCTCTTTTCTTTCTTTCAGGGTGGTGGAATGTACACAGCAGTGCCTCAGGTTGACCCTTCTGAGTGCATCAACTGCCGAAATTGTCGGAACAACAACAGGTAACTTAGAGCTCATCTTCAGAGACCTGTACAAAGTGCAACCATCGTAGTATGTCTGTGAGGGGAAATTGCACGTTATCCTGTTTTATGGATTGGAAAATGGAATCGGGTAGATTCTTGGCCAGTGGCACAAAGGAGGTCAGCGTGAGAGTGTGCATTTGGCAGATGGCTCTGAAAGTGGGACGAGAAATGAAGTAGATTGATTCATAGATTGTAAGGCCGGAAGGGACCTCAGAAGATCATTGGGTCCAGCCCCCTGCACCAGGCAGGAAAGATAACTGTGGGTCAGGTGACCCCAGCAAGGTGACCATCCAGTCTCCTCTTGAAGATTTCCAGGGTAGGTGATTGCACCACCTCTGGAGGGAGCTTATTCCATAGTGTGGACACACTGACTGAAGAAGTTTTTCCTAATGTTGAGCCTGAATTGATCTTCCAGGAGTTTGTGGCCATTACTCCTGGCTTTCCCCTTGGGTGTCCTGGTGAACAGTTGCTCACCGAACCCTTGATGTACTTCCCTAGTGTGGTGATAAGCTGCCACCAAGTCCCCTCTCAGCCTTCTTTTCCTCAGGCTGAAGAGTCCCAGATCCCTCAGCCTTTCCTCGTATGGTTTGCCTTTTAAGACTCTGATCATACAGATGGCTCTTTGGACTCTTTCAAGCTTGTCCATGTCTTTGTTTAAAGCATGGTGCCCAGAACTGGACACAGTACTCCAACTGTGGTTTCATGAGTGCTAAGTAGAGTGGAAGAATCACCTCCCCGGCTTTGCTGTAGATGCATCGATTGATGCGTGCCAGAGTATTATTTGGCCTACTGGCTACAGCATCGGCTCTGCCGGCTCATATTCATGTTGTGGAGTATGTATAAGATAAAATAAACTTGGTGTTAAGCCTCTTGGACCTCCTCTTGTTCAAATCATTAGCCTAAACCTCTTTGTTTTTGTTGGGCTTGGACACATGGGTCATTCAGTTTTGACCTTTTTCCTCCATGATCCCTTCAGTTTTGTGCAATAGTGTGTGCTCTGCTATATTACAGATCTCATTTCAAAACTGAACAGTTAAAAGGCTAATTGGTCCTGTAGTATTTTCATGGTAAGGTCCTTGTTACACTAAGCGCATGTTATATTTAGATCATAGTAAGCATTAATATGACTTGGAAAGTTTTCTTAGAAGTCACACATTAATGCTTCCTACAATCTAAGGCTGTTTGTACACACCACAGGTTTTAATTCAGTTTAGTTCTCCCTAAATGAAATGGTGGGTTTTTAAATACACCACTTCAATTTAGGGAGTATTAAACCGAAATAAACCTCTGTGGCATGTACATAAGGGTTGGGGGCCTGATCCTTACCTGCCTCTTTGGCGGCAGGGGAGGGTGCGAGCTGCCAATGGGCCGAGCAGTCCCTGAGCTGCGTGGGGGCCCCCCAGGCAGCACCCGGACCAGGCAGTCCCAGATGGCGCTGTAGCTGTGGAGGGAAGCACCGAGCCCCCACACAGCTCATGTGGGGAGGAAGGGAAAAAAAAGATCAGGCTTGCTGCTTTTTTTTTTTTTCCCTTCAGTGGAGCCTGCCTGCATGGGCTGCCACCAGGTCCCACAGCCCCTGAACTGCGCAGGGCCCACCAAGCCCTGAGCATGTCTGCTTCCAGTGCCCTGTTGCACTTTTTTAGGTAGCAAACTAAAACACCTTGGAGGTGCTTTATCTTGCTACATACCAAAGTCATTTAAAGCGGAATACGCCACTGAGTGTGCAAACAGTAACATCATTAAAGCGGTGCAAAAGGGTATTTAAGCCACTTTAAAGGCCAATTTTGTGGCATGTACAAAGGCCTTAAGTCTAGATCATAGTACCACACCAGAGTTTTGAACCAGCTCCAGTGTGAGCTGCCTTTGAGCCCCAACTCTGGGATCTAACTGTAACTAGCTCAAGGCTCTGGTATGGTTCAAGGAGTTGGGAATGACACTAGCACCCAGCCCCAACATCACTCAGCTTGAACCAGCTCCTGTGCAGTGCCAGAGCTGGGACGAGTTTCTGTGCCATGCCAGTGCCACTCCTGACCCCTGCACCAGAGTGGAGCCTCAAACTGGTCAGGCTCTGGTGCAGTGCAGGGGGTGAGAGTCCAACGAACAGCTGTTTGTCGAGCAACACTCCCTCCCTCTCCCATTCATACCAGACTAGAGTTTTGCTGGTTCGAGGTCCAATGCAGTAAGGAGGCTGGGAGCCAGACTGACAGCTTTGTTGGGCTCCCACCCCCCACCACACTGGAGTCTCATGGTCATACTGCCCCTGATGTTAATTCAACATGTTGGATAATATGATCTGGAGATGCTTCTTGCTGGATGCTTCTTTATTACACCAAGATGGGACTTGACGTGTTTTAATGCTTGAACACTCGGCTAATTGCTGCATGTAATGCATAACAAGGCCCTAATTCTGTGTTCTATTACAAATTTTCTGCCACCTATAAATCTGAACAGGTATGTTGGGTTCACATCACGTCTTTTTGTAAGACAGAATACAATGCAGCAGGGCATTTAGAAATGTTGCCAGCTTCTTGCTGCTTGATATTCATTCCAGCATGAGAAAGGAGGTTCTCTAATAATTGGTTTATAGGGATGCAGTAATGTCGCCTATAGTTTTTCACTCCAAGTAGAGCTTTGGGACTATGATTTAGTTTAAAAATGAGATCTTAAATAAATCTGAATTATTTGTCCGCTTTCACTAGGAAATGGCTAGTTGTAGTTAAGTGATGAATAACTAATATTTCTCCTGCCATTCCCATTCAATTCATGTTTTTCATTGCTCAAAATAACCACCGCTTATCTTAATTTAATGTACTTCAAGCTATTCATGTCTTGATACACATGTACCACCAAATCAGTGTTTGGAAGGGGGTTCCCTTGACTGAGATGACCAGTGTTCCCTATTGTGAACTTAGACTGAAGCCATACATACTTATCAGGGAAGATGGCTACCACTCTGGAAACGATCCATCTTCTTCTCTTTCAAACCTGATTTAGTTATGATGACAAACATTAAAATGTTTTATGAATTCCTTTAGTGTAGAACAGAAGTGGCCAACCTGCAGCACAAGTGTCATGGGCGCATCTGTATGGCATGCCAGGGATGGGACAGGTAGCAAAATGGTAGCTACAGCAGGAAGCAAAAAGCAAAGCAGCAAATCGGGTAGGAAGCACAGAGCTAGGAGCAGAAAGCAGAGCAGGCATTTTGGCAGAGGAAGAAGATCAGAGTGGCACCTGGGTAGGATGTAGGGCTAATTTATAATACCTGTGCCAAAAAGCAGCATTGGGTGAGTCTGCAGTCTGCCACATTAGACCTCAGTTCTGTTCATGTCTCCGCTGAAAATGACTTTATACAACCTTTCTGTTCCCTTGTGCAAAACAAGAGGCTGTTATTTGTGTACCAATTATTAATAATAGTGAGTAAAAACATAATCGGATGGTTGTCTGGCTCCTGGATAAATGAACCACCTGCTAAGCTAAAATGAACAGATGAGACTTTTCTCCCGCCCCCACCCAGAGAGCCTGATCTAGCTGTAATGCAGTAAAGACCTTGCCAAGTGACAGTGAACCCCTGCTCCCTTGCACCAACTATATGTAAATACTGAGTAAAAGCATAGGAAATTCCATCTTCAAAAACTAGTTTGAAAGGGATTAAGGTTGGTTTAAGTACAACACCTACAGCGTTTACTGCTTAATCCACCTGGTACATTGGCACTGGACTGTATCTGGTTTCATTGCATGGATCACTTCAGTGCCACTGATCCCTGAATTCATGTGCTTCTATACACTTAGCTGGAATTTCTGCTGATTTTTTTTTGTGATGATTTTAAATGCTACAGTTAAATTCAGGGCCAATATAAATGAACAGATGTTGAAGATTTAACATATTTAATGGCAGGCAGCTAACAGTATTTTCAGCAATCGCTTTCTCAAAGCAGGCTTTCATAATACAATGACAGAAACCTCTGATGTTCTATCTAAACTAATACTTACTCTCTTGCTAGAGCTTATGGAGTTGCCCCAGTGCTAGTAGTTGCTAAAATATGGGCATGTCTACACAAGACGCTATTGTGCCGTAGCAAAGCAGTCCCTCATTATAACATGTTGCTATGGTACCATAGTGGCTGAAAATAATCATGCACAGCCAGCACACTGCAGTATGGGCTGTTACTCTGCCATCTTTTAGTACTTCCAGAAGGAAGTACTACGTGATGGCACAGTAACAAAGGTGCCATACAACCAGGTGTAGATGTGGCTTATGGGTTCTCATTGCTACTGTGGACAAGGCCAGTAAGGTGAGACTGCAGTGTGCTACTAGTGCCAATTTAATTTACTGTTCATCTGTTCTGCAGTGGGCACCCAGATTTTTTAAACATTTCGATATTTACAGTTGTATGCACAGAGCACATTATAGCAAGATCTCTTTTTAGTAATTTCAACTCTAGCCTTCCCTTGCCTATTGGAGCAAGAGGGTGCTTGCATTTTTGTGATGACATTCATTAGCAGAATATGAATTCTGAATGAACCAGCAAAACAATAGTCCTCAATCTAAAGTACACAGAAATAAGGCTCCAAAGGCTAGGGATTGATTTTTGGCTTTTTTGCACTGAAATTTTGTGTGAAATGCATTTTTTACTGGAGACATGTTGTTATACTGTCATTTGCACATGCTGTTTTAAACAGATACATTCATTTTGATCTTAAACTCAGAATTTCATAATAAATGTTATTTAATAAACCCAGTTAATTTTATGCATCTCCATTCAAGCCACTTCAGTTATACCAGGGATGATATTGGCCTGTCTTTAAAAGGAAACCAAATACAGCAGAAAAAAACAAGCATGTTAAATGAGTTCCACTAAGGATTTTTTTATTAAAAAGTGATTATAGTCAAACAACCTCTGTTGAAAGCAATGCAAGCTAATAAATGGATTTGTCTGAAGACCAGATTTTTTTTATGTGGCTCTTTCAGTGGCTTTTGTAGTATTTTAGTACTTGAGAAATAATGATTTGGAGGCAGCTAATGTAAGCTGATGGACAAAACATAGACGTTGCAGTTTTTTGGATCTGTGTTATTGTTGTCATGGAAACCTTTCGGCAGGGATCTCCCTGAGGCTGCTTCACACCAGTTTTCGGGATATTCATAGAAACAACTCGTGTTAGAAGCCCATTTTTTGACCAGCCCGAAATTCAGTTGTATCTCCATACCAGCTGCTTTATTCCTTGGCTTCTGTGTCCCAGAAGATGAATTTATATTAAATTAATCCTGAATGATCTTGACTTTGGTCACTCCTATTGATACTGGTCTTGGTTTGGTATTGTGAGAGAGCAGAGTATAAGCTTTGCAAGGAAGAAAACCGTGCTTAAAAAACAGAATTACAACTATTTTAGCCAAAGGCTTGATCTCAAAGATTTTAAACAGAATGCTCATAAACATTAGGTTTAAACATCATGATTTTGCTAATCAGAAGGTTCTTTTTAATGAGCCAGAAATGTTTTGGGGATCCAAACTAGAGTAACTTTTGCTAAAAAGCAGTTGCCAAGTTTAATATCTTCACACAGACATTGAGAATTTAAATATATTTAATTCCTTTTAGGGCTTTAATACTTACATGATAAAAGATGAGTTACTGCGAGTTACAGCTTAGGGATACAGATAGGCTGTCCTTAGCACAGAACAGCATATGTAGTCATCTTCCATTTCCCATAGTAATCAATAAAGACCATATGTCACAGTGGTAAACATATTTAACTCCTCTGAACTGCATATTCTTCAGGAAGAGAGGGAGGCTCTGGAAAGAGAGAAGACATTGAAACAGCCTAAGTTCTTTTATCTGGTTACAGATACCTTTAAAATAGGCATTAAACTTCTGAACACAGTCAGCTCTCAATAATAAAATTTCTTTGACATGTGTGGCAAATAATGCAGAAACCTATAGCCAGTTTTCACAAGCAATATGTCTAAGCTGAAGTATGTATTTAAGAAAGACGAGTTAGACCTCTTGTATTTTCCATTGTTAAAAGAAAATCGGACTGTTCTGACATCAAGTGCCTTTGGAGTTCATTCCCCATATGTCACCATTGTATGCAATGAAATAGGAAATAAAGACTCAGCCAGGACGGAAAAGTTGGTTCTTAGGCACGTGAAGAACATTTTACTAGTTAAAATCTGCCCCCAAAAAGCCTCGAGTGCTTTGGAGGTGGTAAAAGTGGGACTTTTGTGTTTACTTAAATATTATTTTGAGCAGAGTGCCATATATAGCAAGTTCTCCTACAAACAACTTAGATCTGTGTGTGGCAGGATATACTAAATCCATAGTTTGTTTATATTTTTATTTAAAACAGGTGGAAATAAATGGTTTGGGCTAGAGCCACTCAAAGAATGCTTTTTTTTCATTATCAAAAAAGTCACAGAGCATCTGAATGACCACATTTCAGTGCATCACAAACTAGTGGTTCTCCAATTTGTATTTTATATGTTTATCTGTAAAATGTTAACATCTCAGAAGTTCCTTGTTGAACCCAGATGTGATTGGGTAGTCCAGCATTGTGAAATTCAGGCTTCCAATTGTCTGTGTCCTAGGTCTGAGTTATTTTGATCACACAGATAATTTTATAAATATGCTCCTGTGTTTAGAAAGAAGTACTTAAAGACTCATCTGGACTGATGCCTTTCCATCAGTGAAAGGATAGTTTATCACATGAAATGCACTGTAATATAAATCAATTAAATGCATCTCTAATCTTGATGCAGTTGTGTGCAGTTGCTGGTGCCAACCCAGAATGTCAGTGCCTAGAAAGCATAGTGACTAACGCTGTCTGAAACGAGATGGGATGTTCCTGTCATTGTGCATGTAACAGGAAGGGTTTTATTTAGATTGGCAGTAAAAACAGTTCTGCATCCTATCTAGTCAATCCTTATAGTACATCACTATATGTTCTATGTGATATTTGGAAAGTCTGTTTTTAATTTTCTCATGGGCACTCCCAAACACTGGTGGTCAAGGTTAATTATATTTATACATAATTAAACATAGAGATGTTGTTGAGTTGTGATATTACAATCCAGGCTGTCACTAATTGTTGAACGCTACAGTAGAAAAATAGTTTATTTTGATCACCAGGATCAGTGTTTAAATGGAGCACAGAAAGAGGATAACAGGCATTGAAGTTTTAGTGAAATTCTGCGTTAATTTATCTGGACTGGAACAGTGATTTTTCTGTTATCACTCTCCAGTCTACATTTCAAAACACATTTTTCAGGACACTTTTTTATTTGGTGTTTCCCAATTTATTTGACAGTTCTAATTGTGAACCTTTGAGCTGTGTAACAATTATGACTACCTATGCTGTCAGACCAGACATGTCTTTCCTGGGTTTTTAACATTAAATGTGGATGTTGCAAATTGAACTGATAATACTACAGAATCCATGAAGTCAGGGGCCTTTGCATTATAGGCATGTTTTTCTACTTGTTGTAAGCTAATGCTGTGCATACCTATAAAGAGCTTTAGCTATAAGCGTCTTTTTGTTTAAAGGTTGAGTAGTTCAGCTGTAAGGATGGACTTCCCAGCTCAACTTCAGTTGCGTAACCCAAAATGAATGTCTTATTTCATGAAACAAGTTGAAAAATGACTGTAAGATTTTGTTTAAAATGGCTTTGAATAAAATGTTGGAAGCAATTATCTTATTCATATTGATTGTCTGAGCAATGAGTGTTTTGCCATGAGTTACCACAATTTGCTCTTTGGACTGTAACTGAAGATCTTTTTCATGTGGTTTAAAAACTGTTTTGCCCAGCTGGCTGCATGAAGAAATATATTTGCAAGTCATATAGTTCACAGAGGAAGGGAGGAATCAAGGAACAAATGATTCACTGACTGTTTTTCAGCCATCTGTAGAGCTGGGCAGACAGTGGAAGCATTTCATTGTGATTATCACTTTCCAAAAAGTCCAAATTCTCCCAACAAGTATTTGCAACGTGTTCAACCAACTTGATTATTCTTGTTGTACTAAATAGTAATTGGGATTTATTTGGTAAAGTATTTTAAAACTTTAATTTGTCAAATTACTTTAAGTGCATTGAACAGAAAAAACTAGTGGTGCAGGGCTACAAGTGATTTTCTTTTTTTGTTTGTTTTCAATTCACAGATGTTTCACCAAAACCAATGGTACTTTTAGCAGCAATACCCTTCCTGTAGTGCCGGTTGTGGCACCTTATCAGCAGGACAGTTTAGAGATGAAACCATTGAATCATGTGATGGTAGCCATGTGCTTAGCCTCCACAGTTCCAGAATGCAGTGGCCAGATTGAAGAGGACAGGAAAGAAAAAGTGGAGCAACCATCTCCCCAGCATTCTTGCTGTCAAGAAAATATGAATCAAATCAATGCAGATTGCACAGAAGGTGTGCTGCTCCGGGGAGAAAAAATTCTTGGTTTCCAAGCAACATGCAGAAACTAGTAAATAGGACCAGAAATTAAGGCCCAGACCCTGAGAAGTACTAAGCAGCTGGTACATCTAGCTTCAGACAGTGGCAATGAAGATATTCCAAAGTCAGGAGTGTTTTTTAAATAGAATCTATCCAAGATATTTACCTCAGATCTATTTTGAATGCTTCTAATTCTTTTAACAACTTTCATCTTATCTATGATCTGATAAGTGAAGTAGAATTCGGTCATAACAGATGAGATGCCTCTAGAGGCAGGGGTGGGCAGAATACAGCTTGTGGGCTGGACGTGGCCCACCAGGTGACTCGATCTGGCCCACAGCTGTCCCCACATGGGGCCAAGCCCCACCCACTCACACTAGGGCAGCCTGCGCAAGACTCCTACCAGCGCCCACAGCCCGGCCCTGGTCAGTGCGCACAGCGTGGCTGCTCTGCTCCTTGGCAGCACATTGCACAGCTCCAGGTGAGCAGCTTCAGCTGGGTAGCTTCTGCCCCAGCACACAGGTCTCTGGCTCCAGCTCCCTGGAAGGCGGTTGGGAGCTGAAACCAGAGCCCCAGGCGCTGCAGCAGGAGCCTGTGTGCTGGGGTGGGAGGCACCTGGCTGAAGCTGCTCACATGTCTGGAGCAGCATGGCATGGCAGGTGCAAGATCAGGAGCAGGAGCTGCCACTGGTGGCAGGGGGAGCGTGGGAGTGTAGCATGGTTTGCTCAGTGCGGACAAGCAGGACTCTGCCTCAGGTGGAGTACCACAGGGGCAGTGCGAACCACATCACCTGGGCTAGTCTTGCTGCATGTGCTCCCCACCTTCTCCCTCCCCTCACCTACAGCAGACTCCTGGTACCTAGCACCCAGGCAGCCTCCCCCCACAGCCATGTGCACACACATGCCCACATCTGCCCACCCCACCACACACACACATACACACACCCAGAGCTGTGACCACCCCACAGCCTAGCCCCGTGACCCCAGCCTCGCCTACCCCTTCTGCTCCTGAACACTGCTCCCTGCCTGCCCACAGCCCCATAGGGAGTTTTGGTGAGTTGCTGCTGGGGGGGAATGCTGACCCAGCCTGCAAGGGCTCATCAAAACTTCCCATGTGGCCCTCGGGCCCAAATAATTGCTCACCTCTGCTCTAGGGGAATCTCAGGCACTGCAGGACATGGAATCAAAGCAGTCACTGGCACAAGCTGAATGACAAGCATAACATTATTTCTATCCCCTGCTTGTCCCAGAAAGCGGGCACTTTGAGCTTCCCATTAGAGCAGACAGCTTGGATCAACATGGTGCTTCGCAGGGATTGGGGAAAATGGAGCACGGGCCCAGTTGGTCCCTTTCCACATCAAACACTGCCTTTCTGCCTGTTTGAACTTTCCATAGCTTAGATCTAAATGTGTTCTGTATTATTCAGTGTGCAGGCATCGGTACATTTTGTTTGGTTTCAGGGAAGTGTTGTGAGTCAAATTAGAATTCTCTCTAGTGGATAAACTGCCCCTTTGCCTGCACTATGTTCAGAGTCTTCCAAGAGAGAAGTCACTGCACACATTGTGATCAGTAAAATAGGAGAGACCTGGATATTCTGATCTATTACCCCAGATAATTTGTAATGCTTTTCCTAGGCATTGCACCCTGCAGAGTTCAAGCTACCCTTTGTGTGGGTACTGGGAGCTGAAAGTTTTATCCAGTGCGTTCATCTGAATGCTAGTGTTTGGGGGTGCTGTGTGCTGACACTGCAAGGCAGTAATACGAACTGCTCTTGATTTGCAGGTAACAACTGTGCACATTCAGAAACATCAAATCACATTTTGAGCTGGAGTCCCCTTATTCTGCAGCCTGTTTCAAAGGACTGTAATGAAAAATCAAGTTGGAATTCATCTGGTGTCACTTTAAACAGCTCTGGGGACTTTCGACAGCTCCAAATACAGGAAGCCTGAGGATGTGACCATTTTCCCCACTTGAAGCCAGTAACTGCACAGCAGAATCACTGAAAGGGACTGATGGAGGGATGTTAATTATAACAGAGAGTTGCTATTTATTTTTTGTAGTAGTGTCATATGAATGTATCTTGTGTAAAATTTTTCCTTTCTTTCATATTATTTATGCCCTGAGAAGTTTCTTTGGCTTTTTCACATTCTGTGGACTAGCCTGGTTATGTGTAAAATTTTGTAATAATATAAAACAATGATTGAAAATAAGTAGTATGTTTTCCATGGATATTACCAGCGCAAGAAGCACTTCTGCAGAGGAACCTGAATGTTTAGTATGCAGATTTCTTTGAGCGAGTCAGACCTGAGTGGTTCTGAGGTTCATGGCAGATTATAGCCACCCCGTAGAGAATTGCTGCATCACTGGCATTTGTTGCAGTATTTTTATAGCTGTTTTTCCCTGAATATATGTTCTAGCTTGTTTCAGATTATCTAGAGGCATCTTGAGATTTGGTAAACGAACCTCTGCAAAATAATGAACTTCAGGTGCTCCATTTTTCAGCCAGTTCAGCTGTTCAGATAGTAATTAACCCAACGGGGAATCTGAGCTCAGAGGTCAGTTGACAGTTCTTTGGGGTTTTAGTTGTTTGCCAGTATTCAGAAAAAAGTCTACTGGTCAACATTCTCGTGCTTCCTAGCAATAGTCATTTTTCTGGACACATTGGAAGTTGCTATTTTTCCTGTTTTTAAAAGGATTTCAATTACCTTGTCAAGAAACAAATTCTGAGTGATTTGTTGGATCCACCCCTTTCCCATAAATAAGGAATAATCAAGATAAATAGTCCATAGTCTGAGAATTAGTCATCCAATCTCTACTGTAAGTACTTCTCTGAAAATATTGTTTTTTAAAAGACGGGGACTAAACTGCTAATAATTATTCACAGCGACCATCTCTGACTAGCTGGTTGTTTTGCATTCTGTGCGTGTAAATTTCTCTGCACATAAATTAGATTGAATTTTCTAAATTCAGATCTTAAACCTGCTTATCTATACACAGACCTTCCTTAAGAGCAGCTGGGATTTACATGCTGAGAGTAAACACAGGCAGTACAAAGCAAACTTTACTCCATGAGGTTCAGCTGCTTTAGTCTTTACAGCTCATTAGTAAATAATTGCTGTTAATTCCATTGGTTTAATTTCTAGCAGCCCTAAACTGGAATCTTTGTTGGTCTGTACTTTATTAATCTGCGCACTAGCTAATAGTGGTGGCAGCCCCATGTCTCCCAAAAGACTGACTATTAAGAAGAGGTGAGACTGGGATGATGCTTTATTCCTAAACTCTTAACAGTGCCCAACTAACAATTACAGAATTAAAGTGAGAAGATATATTCTGATGCTTTATCCCTGTTTTTTGTTCACTTAGAAATAACAAATTTCAGTGCTTTCTAGGGGTTTCCTAGGGCTCCTTGGGTGAGAAAAAAGGAAAAAATATCATTTGTACAGTGATCCCCTTTCTGGCTGTCTAAGTAAAGCTGGAATGTTTTTTGTCTTAGCAAATTGCACCCAGTTGTGTTGCAGGTGGTGTCAGAAATGCCACAACTGATGGCATGGCTGTGTATGTAGCTTTAAGAAGCTTGCCCATATTCCAGAAATAACAGATGGAGCATGATGTAGGTGTTGCAGTGTTAACTGCATTTTTTTAAATTTAATCAGAATAAATAAAATAACCTTGTGCTTGTAAAGCATCCTGTCTAGAAATCAGAGCAAAGAACCCAAGAAATGAGGCACATAAATTACAATTACAGCTGCCCTGAGGCAATACATGTGCAGGCTCCTTGTAATGGAACAAGTATTTTCCTAGTTGAAGCCAGAACCGCCCCTTTTGAGGGTGGTGTGGAAGCAAAACTGCCTTATTTAAAATTGCAAACTCCTTATGGAATAAGTGAGAAGGTTCTTACAGGTGCAGTATATCATAGTAAAATTTGTGTCAGAAACAGGCTGCCTACTTCTCAAACTATTGCAACAAATGTCAAATACAGTGTGTGTATATACAGTGTGTGAAAATATTATATATAATATATGTATATTATATTTTTAAATACATTAATGAGAATTTACTGTGTTTGATCTGGGTTACTATGCAAGAGTTTTATTTCAGTAGGAAAGTAGTTGATGCAGTTTTTCATTTGATGACTATAGAGTGATGGAGGGTGCCCTACTAGATGCTGTAATGTGAGTTCTCTACTCCTGATGTCCATGCATGTGTGATGGATTTAGTCTTCATGTTTGTTAGGCCCACAAGCATCAGAGGGAGGCAGATTCCTGTGATCTAGTGTGATTGTTGAGTGCAATGTCCAACCATGTTTGTTTTGAAAATGTGCCTCTGTATGACATTGATTTAGGAAACTTTGGTATAAGAGTTCAGTAATTGGGAGCCAGTTTGAATCGGGAATCCATAGGTAAGTTAGTAAGAGCCCTTAAGTCATAAACTGCTTTGAAAGAGTCAACTTTGGGGGTATGGGTGGGGAGGGGAGTTTCTACTCAAGGAAGAGACTGTTGTAATCTGCCTTGTTAGCAGAATCTCATCGTGGACTGCTTTATTTATATTGAGTGACACTGTTTTAAGTGTTTTTCTTGTTATTGTATTTTATTTATAAAAATATATGTTTTCCTTTATTTTTAGGGGACACATTCTCCCAATTATAAGTGCGTAATTATGAATCTCTCTAGAAATCCTGCAATGAGTGCTGCGATCCCTAGATCCTGTAATCACTCAGCTCCCGCCATTAAACTTTAACTAAGGTCACCTACCCAAGAGATACTGAATGGCCTTGCTCCCATAACAGCCTCATTGCCTTTCAAGCTGGATCTTTTAGCATCTCTCTTAGAGGAGCTTGGTTTGGGTATATTGTATTATTTTTCTTTGAAAAGTAGCTGGCCCAGAGATTTGGTGCATCAGCTTCTCTAGATCCTGCTATCCCTAGAGTTCTGGGCTTGCTGGCAAGAGTTTTGGCACCTTGGGAATGAGGTGCATTGCCACAGCAGAGAGGAGGAAACTGGTGTAACTGCCTTTATCACACTTGACTCGAGCCAGTGCTTAGCTCTTTGAATCCATAGGCACTGAATTTTACCCATACCTGGAAAGGCCTCACTTAAGTCAGATATGTGCATACTCCCCTTTTTTCATTCTCTTCTTAAACAGTAAGGCACTTCAAAGCCTCTGGTAGTTACTTGCCAAATCTTCAACTTACAGGGAAAAAAGGGTTAAAATTAAGACTTGTTCAATACCTTTCCTCATGGTACGTGCTATAATCAGTAATTGTCTTCCTGATACAGATACCTCTGTAAATGCCATTCAGCTCCAGTACTGCCCAAGGAAGATGTTATTTTTCACCTGTGTTGTTTTTGAAAGCAATGACTTAAATGCATGTGTCTTGTATCGCATAGAAAAAATATGCTATATTTTCCTAAAAGAAAGTTGTAATATTCCTTTTGAAATTGTACATATTTTTAAATGATGTAGTTTTTGCAGGTTTTTTGGTGGTTTGATTAATATTAAAGAGAATGCTGCTGCTTTATGTAGAGTGACTAATGTGGTGATTGCCAAATTGTCTGATCTTGAATCTGTAACAGGTAAGAGTTCTCTTTAACCAACATCTGTGGACTTTTTTTTGCCCACTCACTTAGATCTTTCTGAAGCTTCTCTCCAGCCTGGGACTTGACTACCGGAAGAATTTAATATCATATGCAAACTTGGAGATTTCACTGTGCCCCCCTATTTCTAGGTCACTGATGGAAATGTTGAACAAAATAGGGTCCAGCACAGATCCCTATGGGACTCCACTTTTGACCTCCCTCCCCCCTGAAAATGACAATTTAGCCCTACCCTTTGCTTCCTATCTTTTAACCAGCTCTCAGTGCATAAAAGAAACTTCTCTCCCATCTTATGGCAATATTTTTTTTAAAAGCCTATTTTGAGGGACCTTGCTGAATGCCTTTTGAAATTCCAAATATATTTTGTCAACTGGATCCCCCTTCTCCAAACTCTTCAGTTTGGAAAGGAGAAGGCTGAAGCGGGGGAGGGGGAGATATGCTAACAGGTTTATAAAATCATGAAGGGTATAAACCAAGTGAACAGGGATCTGTTGTTCACCAAGTCCTGGAATACTAGGGGCACCTGCTGAAATTAGTAAGTGACAGGTTTACAACAGATGATATAAAGTGCTTTTTTATGCAACATGCAGTTAACTTGTGGAATTCATTGCCATGGGAGGTGGTGGAGGCATATAGCATAGCAAAGTTCAGAAAGGGACTGGATAAATTGACGGATGACAGATCTATTAGATGGTTACTGAATAGAATGGTTGGAGATGTTTCCTGTAATAGGGAGGTTATTAAATAAGGGATAGATCATTCTAGATAAATGGTATGATGCTCTCCCTGTATAGCATCCACTTCTGCCAAATGAAGTTCAGTAAAGACAAATGCAAAGTGCTACACCTTTTGCAGGAATAATCAAAAACATAAAATGTATGACACCTGGCTGGATGGCAACACTATGGAAAAGGACTTAGGCTCAGTAGGTCACGGACTCGATATAAGTCAGCAGTGTGGTGCAGCTGCACAAAAGGCAAATATGGTTTTGAGATGCATCAATAGAACGATTAGGTGCAAGATGAAAGTGATAGTGCCTCTCTCCTCAGCTTTGGTTAGATTCATAGATGCTAGGGTCAGAAGGGGCCTCAACAGGTCATCGAGTCCGACCCCCTGCCTAGGCAGGAAAGAGTGCCGGGGTCAGATGACCCAGCCAGATGCCTATCCAGCCTTCTCTTAAAGACCCCAAGGTAGGGGAGAGCACCACGTCCCTTGGAAGCCCATTCCAAATTTTGGCCATCCTTACCGTGAAGTTTTTCCTGATGTTTAGCCTAAATCTGCTCTCTGTCAGGTTGTGACCATTGTTCCTTGTGACCTCAAGAGGCACCGTGGTGAACAGAGCATCTCCGATCCCTTGCTGCATCCCCTAATGAATTTGTAAATGACCACAAGATCCCCTCTCTGCCTTCTCTTGCAGAGGCAGAAGAGGTCCAGGTCCCTCAGTCTCTCCTCACAGGGCTTGTCCCATAAACCCCTGACCATACGAGTGGCCTCCTCTGGACCCTCTCGAGTCTATCCACATCCTTCTTGAAGGATGGCACCCAAAACCGGATGCAGTACTCCAACTGCGGTCTGACCAACGCCGCATTGAAGGGACATATCACCTCCTTGGATCTGTTTGTCATGTATCTGCTGGTGCGCAATAAAGTGCAGTTAGCTTTGCTGATGATTTCATCACACTGATGACTCGTGTTCTTCTTGGATCCACTATGACTCCAAGATCCCTTTCTGCTCCTGTGCAGCTGAGAGGGTCACTGCCCAACCAGGAGGTTTGCTGGATATTTTTGGGCCCAAGGTGCAGCACTCTGCACTTGTCCTTGTTGCGCTGCACCCTATTGTGTACTGCCCACTTCTCTAACCTGTCCAGGTCTGCCTGAAATTGTTCCCTACTCTCTGGAGTGTGCACTTCACCCCACCATTTAGTATCATCCGCAAACTTGGACAGAGTACACTTCACACCCACATCCAAGTCACTGATAAAGATATTGAAGAGTACACGTCCAAGGACTGAGACCTCTGGGACCCCAGTACACACATCCTTCCAGGTCAATACTGACCTGTCTACCACCACTCTCTGGGTGCAACCGCTAAGCCAATTTGCCACCCACTGGACTGTGTAAACATCTATGTCACAGCCTCTTAATTTATTTATGAGAATGGGATGAGATACTGTATCAAAGGCCTTGCTAAAATCCAAGAAAACAACATCCACCTCTACTCCTGCGTCTGAGCATTTTGTGACCCTGTCATAAAATGAAACCAGATTGGTCAGGCATGATCTACCTGCTACAAATCCATGCTGGTCTCCCTGCTGCATTATTTTTCCCGCTGGACTCCCACAAATATGATCCTTCATAATCTTTTCAAAGACCTTTCCAAGGATGGAGGCAAGACTGACTGGCCTACAATTACTCAGATCCTCCTTCCTTGACTTGCACCATGGCCAAAAAGGACCTAGGGGTAATGATTGACCATCGTATGAGTATGAGCTGTCAGCATGAGGTGCAAGTTAGGCCACCTCCTCATACTGTGTACAATTTTGGACTCCACATTTTGAAAAGGATATGGAGAAGTTAGAGTTTAGTGCCAGGCAACAAAAATGATAAAGGGCTTGGAAACCAAGTTGTAGGAAGAGAGGCTGAAGGAGCTAGGGATGATCCACTTGTGCAACAGGTGCTTAAGAGGGGATATGATTCATAGATTCATGGATTTAGGGGTTGGAAGGGACCTTGCAGATCATTGGGTCCAGCCCCCCCACTCTAGGCAGGAAGACAACTGGGGTCAGGTGACCCCAGAGAAGTGACTGTCTAGTCTC